AACTTATTTTAAAAAACAAACTTAAAACGTTTATTTTAAAATAAGTTTTTATTTTATTTTTTAAAAGAACATTTTTTTTAAATAAGTTTTTTATTTTATTTTATTGTTTTAAGTAACTTTGTTTTAATAAGTTTTTATTTTATTTCGTTTTTTAAAAATATTTGTTTATTTTTTAAAATTTATTTTATATATATAATGCAAAGTTACTCTTTTACCTCTTTTAAAATTAATGAAAATGGTGAAAGAAGTTAAGTGGACATGGTGAAATATTATATAAAATTGGATGACATTGGTGAATTAAAATCAAGTTGGATGGTTAAGGTGACACTAAATGTAACGTTGAGTGGTCATGGTAAAACAAAATTAAATTTGGTGATCATGGTGACACCAAATATAAAGTTAGATGGCCACAAATGAATTTAACCGGACATAAATATGAAACTGTTTCTTCAATTTTTCATGAATTTGAATTTCGATGTAGGTCGACTTTTTTCATGTTGGTAGTAGGATATGGGAATCTATTATTATTAAATTCTTTTTTATTTAGAATGTTTCTGTTCAAGTTGTTAAGATTGGCAAATAGGAACACTGATGTGACGTTGAGATTTATTTATCGCATGTCAATGTCTATGTTGTTTTTCCTTTTACAATCTAACAGAGTTGTTTGAATTGATATCATTGTAAAAGAAGTATAAATTGAGGACCTAATTGTGACATAGTTCAGTTACCTACTTGAACTTGATTAGAGATGTGCTCTTTTGAACAACCACAATAAGATGAAAACCAATGCTATCTTGCTCGTGTGAAACATGCATTAGCATTATGTCCTACAAGTGATCCCCTCCAGGATTGGTATAAGTTTTGTCTCATTTCTTATGGTTTGCTAAATTCTACTGGTAACCATGAAATGTTGATTAGTCTATTTTGCAGTCACAAGGGGGTAATAGCAGCATTTGCAAACCATATGGGCTAATTTGCAATTTTGCTTGTTTTTATCCACTTTGGAAAGTGTAAAGTCATATCTGTCCTAGAATGTGTCTTATTTTGATTTTTCTAAATCTACAACCCATGCACTAACTGATGTAACATGTGGCTACTTCTTTTATTTTGATTAGAGAACCCAAACCCATGCATCTTCTTGTGACACTTCTTGTTTACTTTCACTGATGTGAACCCAGAATCCTTTTGTAATGACAAATAGTTAGATTATTCTTAGAATTCAATAATGAGATTTCTTGGGGATGTGCTTCCTGTAGAATAAATTTCTGAATGCTGTCATTTAGAACAAAAGAGGTTGAAATTTTACTTTGTCATAAACTTGAAGAAGAGTGAATTTCCTTGTCTAGACAAGAAAGGTTAAGTATCTTATTTTCCTTGCCATTAAAATAAGAAAGTTATACTGAGTGAGTTGGTGGATTATCATTTTCTTGTTAAATGGCACATAAAAACTCATCATCAGACATTTTGTGCTCTATGCCACCATAATTTCTCTTCTTACACTTTTCATGTTTTTGCATAGGAAATATGCCTAAGGTGAAGACAAACAGAGTGAATTACCCGGAGGGATGGGAGTTGATTGAACCTACGATTCGTGAACTACAAGCAAAGATGAGAGAAGGTTTCTATTGTTTCTGTATTGTCTTATTTGTCACTCCCTCCGTCCCAATTATATAGGCTTGTTTCGTTTTTCACACGGATTAAGAAAGCTTCTTTAATGTCGTTGAAAAATTAATTTTTATCAAGATCTTTCCTAATTTACCCATATTTCATTTTCAATATGTAAAAGTAACTTATTGTTGGAACTAGTAAAGAATTTGAAAAAGAAGAATAAATTAGAGCTGTTTCATGTTTTCAAAAAGTGAGAAATGTGTATATTTGGATGATTTCAAG